TCCACAAGCTATGATTTTAGAGGTCCAAATGAAATACTATTTTTTGGTGAATTCCAATTAATCTTTTGGACTAACTTTATAAAGTCAAGTAGTTTAATTCGATTCTACCAAAGTCGACAAAAAGTCCTCTCATTTTCGTGAGTTGGAAAGTTTGCCATTAGCGTAAAATCCCGCCCAGTTCATTACAGTTGAATGTGGAGAAAATCGTTTCGTTTGAAAAAAGGACGTCTTTTTTAGCAAACGTTTCTATGCTGGGATGTTTTCGCGATAATTTGTCTTTCTAAACCATGGAAAACAAGAGATGTTATCAGAGGGAGCTTCACAGGCTTCGCCACAAAGTGATGAATCATTTGCTTTGGAAATAACCATTGAAAATTTTATTTGCCACTAACCTGAACCACTAAGATTGCCTCATTACCAAAATTAATTTTTCATTGACTTCGATCCACACTAGCCAACCAGTTTGCGTTCCCATCGGATACAAATGCGTGTCCCCATGACCGTTGGCATTGCACATTGATATCCTCACCGGGCTGTGCTCCTTCCTCCTCTCTTTGAAGATATCCAACCTCCTTTATATGCATTTTATTAAGCAAGAATACCTACATGAAATCAGCCTTATCGTCAGACGCTAAAAAATTGGTATGAACGTGATTTTGTGGAAATTTAAGCGAATGAGTGAAGCCAGGAGGTCAATAAGGCTATTTTACTTTTTATTAATAGTAAATATTTTCTGCTTTCACTATCATCTAACTAGTAGGAAAGGAAAGATTTTCAGTTCGCGTATACAACTTGAGTGGAAATTGGAATATAAACGAAACGTATTAAAGGCGGTTTAATCTTTCACCAACCGGACGTGGAGAGGAGGTCAATCAACTAGTGGCAGAGGAACACAAATTTTGTTGGTGAATTATACACTGTTCAAACGAGTAAAACACAAATGAGTAAATAAATGGAAACACTAAACAATGGAAGAATAAGGCCTACTGAATGTGCTCCAAGCCTCATGGGATAGGTAATTGGTGCCGGTGCTGTGCCCGTCTCAGGACTGACCCTAGCTCAGCTCGTTCTGCTGGCGCACAGGAGGAACAAACAGGAGCGCTGGGATTGGCTCGCTGCATTCGTCTACTACCACTGGACGGGATGCGACCACCTGATGGTGTGCGTCTTCGTGACCAGTTAGTTGTGCGACGTGTCAAATAAAAGTAAGGCGAATTTTAGCTTAAGTAAACTCGTTCCCTTCTCATGCCTTAACGTTAGCGTTCTGTAGAACTAAGTTTGAAGACGTGATTATGAACTGTCAACCTTGCATTTGTAACAGCTAAAACGGCTCTACAAAATTGTTCGTTCTGCATCTCACGCCAAATAACACATGACTTCCCACTTTCAAGATTTTCTTATATACTGCATCCTGCTAATCTGGACTCCACGGCTTCCGTCTCAGCCATTTTGTGAACCGCAGCCTGACCTCGAACAACTCATTTTAGCCGCACATTAGCGC